AAGATCCGATTAAAAGGTGGGGTACAGAACTAAATAGAGAATTTTCAATAGAGGAGGCTAAAATGGCCAAGAGACACTTAAGAAAGTGCTCAACATCCTTAGCCATCAGGGAAATGCAAATCAAAACAACTCTGAGATACCATCTTACTCCTATCAGAATGGCTAAAACCGAAGACAATTTATGCTGGAGAGGATGTGGAGAGAGGGGAACACTCCTCCTCTGCTGGTGGGAATGCCAACTCGTACAGCCTCTTTGGAAATCAGTATGGAGATTCCTCAGAAAAATGGGAATTAATCTACCACAAGACCCAGTAATTCCTCTCTTAGGCATATATCCAAATGAGGCAAATTCATACAACAAGGGCGCTCCACTATGTTCATAGCATCATTATTTGTAATAGCCAGAACCTGGAAGCAACCTAGATGCCCCTCAACTGAAGAGTGGATAGAGAAAATGTGGTACATTTACACAATGGAGTATTACTCAGCAGAAAAAAAAATGGAATCTTGAAATTCGCAGGTAAATGGATAGCACTTGAAGAAACCATCCTGAGTGAGGTAACCCAGTCGCAAAAAGACAAACATGGTATGTACTCACTCATATATGGATTTTAGACATGGATCAGGATAGTGCCAGTCTGCACTTCCACTGATAGAGAGTCTGGGAAACAGGAAAGAACCTAAAAGATATGCATATATGCATAGTACCCAAGAGAAGAGGATTGAGACAAGATCTTCTGAATGGATGGGGAACATGGCGAGGGGTGGGGGGAAGTGGGAGCTGGGAAGAAGAGAGGGGGAGAAGAGGAAGAGAGAGTAGGTCATAGGGGAACAGGAAGTTTGAGTGGGTGGGGGTAGAATAGGGGGAAGAGGGAATCATAGGTTAGAAGACAGATCAGGCATCAATGTGACCTCTAGTGATCTAAAGGGTTAACACCAATTGGCAAGCTAAGCAATAGTGGAGAGAACACCTCGAATGCCCATTCCTGATAATGAACTTGATGTCTATAACCATCCAGGAGCCTTCATCCTGTGACTGATGGAAGCAGAGGCAAACACACAACTAAGCACTGAACTGAACCCAAGGAACCCAGTGACAGAGAGAGGAGTGATGAGCAAATTGGCAAAGATTGGGCTGGCAAAACCAGCAGAGACAGCTGATCTGAACAGGGGAGAGCTCTTGGACCCCAGACCGACAGCGGGGAGGCCAGCATGGGACTGATCCGGACCCCCCCAAACGTGAGTGTCAGTGAGAAGGCCTGGGCAACCTATGGGACCCTGAGCTGTGGATCAGTGTCTATCCCTGGAATACAAACAGCCATCGTGTGCCTATAGCACAAAGAGGGATGCTCTCTCAGCCTGGACTCTTAGGGGAGTGCCTGGACCCTACCCGGAGTGAAATGACAGACTCTAGGTATCCCCTATGTGGAAGGAATTGGCAATAGGGTGGGAGGCTGGGGGGGGGGGATGGGGAGTGTGGGAGGAGGGGAGGGAGAAGGAACTGGGATTGACATGTAAAACAAGCTATTTAAAATTAAAATAAAAAGTGATTAAAAAAAGATTCCCAAAATGCTGTTTCTATGACATAGTCAAATAATTAAAAATAGTGGAGTAGAGTGGATGCTTTTAGCCTATCTACACTTGACTTCTAACCAACTTACCTTTCTACTCCCTTTGTAAATCCTAGGTGGTTAATTCCCATAATGTGTCTAACGGTCATGGTTAGGAAACTACTAGGGTGAGTGGGCCTACCCATTGAGCTACAACACAATACCATAAATTATCTGTTTGTTCTCAAACCTGTTCATGCCAGCTATTCTTGATACTATGCTTTTATAACTTAATTATTATACAGACCAATTATATGGCATAGAAACAAAGTCTTTGTTTCTCTGAAGTCTATGTTTAATAATTTCAAAAGACACAGTAAAGGGTGTGTGATAACTATAAAAGAATAAGTTTGCATTCAGATTGTTTCAAGAGGGTCTTTAAATTATTTTCCTCTTAATGAAACAGAATATTTGGGAATCATTTGTGTTTAGGGGTAGCTGTGTGCTTTATGCAAGAGATGCAATGCAGAAAAATAAGCTGATCACGTGCAAAAAGACTCTGGACTTTCCCAATTGATTGGCAAATGAGTATGCAGCCAGATTAAAGAAATTTCACAATACTATGCCACACTTGTCCACAATTTTCTGGCTTAGCTTTGTTCTCTTTTGAAGAGCTTCACATAGGTATAACCTACATACCATAACTTTTATTCTTATAAAATATACAATTCAGTGTTTAAAGCAGCCTTTTCAATGTGTTGATTATGAGTTCAGACTGTACCTAGGAGAATACTTCTTATATATGAAAATACTATGGAAGCTATTCTGCATAGTGAGACAAGCAGGCCTCCAAGAAGGTTATGTTTAAGCTTGAAGAGTATTGAGCAACTAGGAGCAGCTAAGCTCACAAAAGAGTGTTCAAAGTACAACAAACAGTAAATGTAAAGAATGCAGTCATGTGGCCTATGAAAGAACAGCCTTTACTCAGGTGGCTTGAGAATAAGGCAGCTCTTTTTTTTTTCAAAATGAATTATGCATCTGAATCATCTGTAAGATGAAAAAAAAAACAGAACAAAACATGCCCAGGCCTGACTCCTATAGACTCTGATTCAGGATACAACTGGGGTGTGGGGTACCTACATTATTATTTTTTAAGTTCTACTTGTTCAGATGTGCAACCAGAATTGAGAAGCTCTTGAGCAGTATGACAAAGGAGTAAGAATATTAAGAAATGAGGTTCAGACTGACCAGATGTCGGAGGAAATGGTATGCAAATACACTACAGTAACTTCCCTAACAACTTCACTATTTGGGAAGTTTTGTTACTGCCAGTGCTGTTGCTTGAAAGAATCTTAACTCTCTCCATTGTGCAGGAAAACAAGGGAAAATGTTCAAAGCCTGCTTCATAAACAATAACTGTTTAAACATTCCTTTTGCTTGACATAAAACAAGTTTCATGCCAAGGCATGAGAGTCTGACCAGATGTGTATCATCTACCACTCAGGCTTCCTGAAAGTGTCCAGGGAAAATACAAATGTGACCACCCAGTGGTCACATATACAAGTAGATCCTATGTGGGCTGGTTACATTGGTCTCTAGTCAAGTCGAGGTTGGTGCACACTTACAAGAACTCCTGTAAACTCCCAGATACCCTAGAGTCTTCTCATTCAGGAAAAGCAACCTTAGCACCCACAGTCACACCAAGGAAGACAAAGCCCCGTCTACAGAACATATGCTTTCTCCTGCATTCTCTTCTATGTTTAAGGTTGGCTCTATTTCCATTTACAAGAGTACTCGATTTCATATTGTAGTTAGTCCTTGGAGGATAAAGGATACTGAAATTTGATCTTATTACCACTCTAATAATTAATGCATTCTGTCCTATTGGGGGCGCACACTTTTTAAGGAGCCAATGAAAAATCTCTGCTGTCAATACAAGTGAAGGGGAAGTCAAGGATGTTGACCCCAATTGAAAGCACAGAACAAGCAGAAATGGGTGAGTGGGGGAGGTAACTCACTTGTTTCTGGAAACTAAGAAACTAAACAAAAAGTAAAATCAGAAGTCTCCAGGGTCCGCTCTCTTGAGCACGGGACTGAGGGCGCTAAGAGCTAACGTGACCGCTGACCACACTGCTGGGTCAGCAGATCCTCCTGCAGTCACCGAGGGCCGCTGGGAAGGACGCCCCCTCGGCTCGGCTCGCCTCCCGGACGGGCCCGCTCGCCCGCGGCCCTGCGCGCCTCAGCGCCTCAGAGACCCCGCCTCAGGCAGCCTCGCGGGCGACGGCGACCGCTGACCCGGAACTGCTGAGCGGCGGCGCGGGAATCCCCGCCGGGGGGCTCCTCCAGGCGGCTCCCGGGCGCCGCCCCGCGGCCGTGGCGGGAACAGTCGAGCCCGTGATCGGGAAGCCGAGGCCGCCTGGAGGCCGGGACGGACGCGGTGGGGCGGGACGGAGGGCGACTCCCGGAGACTCTGGGTCCGTTCGCCCAGGCTGCGCTCACACCCCAGCTCGAGGCCGCCGAGGAGAGCGCGGGAAGGGGCACCGCGGTGAGTGTGCCAGCCTGTGCCGGGGCGCAGGGGCGGGCGGACCCCGCGGTGACGGGACAGGCGCTGTGTGTGGTCCCCAGCTGGCCCTGCACAGCTGGAAGAATGAATGACAGCGCCGGTGCCCTGGGCAGTGCGGGTCAGGGTGGGCCTAGGTGGGCTCCGGGGTCAGCAGTGGTAGGCATCGCCGGGAATTCAGGGGCAAGGGGTCACCAGAGGGGCGATCCAGCCGGGACCGGGAGGACTGGTAAGACAAAAGGGCCGGAGAATCAGCAAGTGGTGGCCCCTGATCCTAATTGCAGTGGCTTTTGTGATCAGCGTGGAGTACTGAGCAAATGTGGGGGAAACCCTGTCCTATCGGTCAGCTTCGATCTTAAAAGACGAGGTTTGTGGTGGTGGCGCACACTGTTAGTCCCAGCACTTAGGAGGCAGAGGCAGGAGGATGTCTGTGAGTTCGAGGCCAGCCTGGTCTACAGAGCAAGTTCCGGAACAGCCAGGGCGATGCAGAGAAACCCTATCTCGAAAACCACAAAACGAGAGAGACAGGCACTGAGACAGAGAAAGAGACAAAAACGATTTGCTGATGCTGCTCAATTTAACATCCTAAAGGTGAGGCCTCGGCATTTCATATGAGATGTGATCTAATCTGACAGGCATGATGGGAATAATGATATAGCAGATAGGTTGGCATCCTATAATTTAAAAGCAGCACTTGATCCCTTTCCTGGCCTGGGCTCCAGATTTTGGTTACTTTTTTGTGTTAGCACAATTACTTCCTTCTTTGTTTACCACACATTTCTGTTGTATCTATAAGAAGACTAACACAACTGACTGTTATTTGTGATCATATTTCTTTACAGCTGATTTGGCACAAAAGTCATCTTTGAAGAAAAGTGCATGGTTGAAGAATGGCAGAAGCAGTCTTGGTTGATCTCTTTGGTTTAAAATTGGACTCACAGCAAATCTGCCATCAGACATTATTGAAGACGTTGAATGGCATTCACTGTCACCACGCCCCCAAGGCCAAGTTCCTTTGCATAATGTGTTGCAGTTATGTCACCCAAGAAAGGGATGATGAACAGGGTCTTTGTGACTGGGAAGCAGGAAATGGATTCTCACTTCTCATGAGAGACTTTGAGACTGTTAGCAATCCCAGTATGGCTGCCTCGTTGTATACAATTAAACAAAAAATTGATGAAAGAAATCTAAGCCACATTAAGGTGATTGTCCCCGAGCACAGGAAATCGTTCATGAAGGCTTTTATTGATCAGCTCTTCACTGGGGTTTATGATTTTGAGTTTGAAGATCTTCAGGTAGCTTGGAGGGAGAGCCTGTTGAAACCAGCCACTGAAATAAATGCACCCACAACTCATCAACTGGAAGAAATCCAGAATGAAATAGAAACGTACTTGAGAGGCCTACCAGCTCTGAAAGGAGACTTAACTATTATCAGATCTCCTTTGATCCCAGGTATCTTCAACACTCTTTGTCGTTTGCACTGCAGTGAAAACCCAGGCTTGCTTCAGAAGTTGCTCACTTCCTGTTTTTCCCTTTTCTGTTGACTCTTGTGAACTGCTCATCTTTTGCAACATGGGGGTTTTATGACCTTGTGGGTCAGTGGCATCAAGGGATGACTTCATCAGAGCCACCCCAAACAAACCAATTGGCTCCATGCTTTAAGGCAAGCCTCCCATTCCTCCTAAAAGAAAAAAAAAAAGATTTTTCTGTCCTGGACAGTCTTTTATGTAGAAACAATGAAACCTCAGTCCTTTGGGCATTTGGGCAGAGGATGAAATTTCAAAAGAAAGAGAAATCAGTCTTCCTTGGATAAGTAGTTTGAGCTATATGCTGTTATGTATATAGAGGGTGAAACAAAAGTACCCTTCAAAGAGCAGCAGCCCCATAAGGTGACAACAGTATGTAACAGCTCTTGGAGGTGCCACGTGCTGCCAGAATTAGAAACCACATAAGTGACTGCAGGTTGGAGTGGTCAGGGAGGGTCTGACGGAGAGACTGTCCTTTCTATGCTTTCTTGTCTTTTGTAGACCGTCTTTTTACGCGCTACCCCTTACCTTCAACAGATATCTTCATACATGGATTTACTACAAGAACAGGTGGCATATCTTACATACCAACTCTTAGCTCACTCAATCTTTTCAGTAGTTCCAAACGGAGGGATCCCAAAGTTGTTGTCCAAGAAAATCTTCGGAGGTTGGCCAATGCTGCAGGATTTAATGCAGAGAAGTTTTACCGAATAAAGGTAAATTTTTGTTACATATTTTGGTTTTCCAAAATATTGTCAATAACTATTTGACCTTTAAGCTATTTACCTTTTGTTTCTAGTGCTTCGTTTAACATTTTAGAATAATGCTGTGATTATTTTCTCTATGCATGTAGCCTAAAGGTCAAGTATTCATGTGTGCATATATGTATCTCACCTAGATAGAACTCAGTTCTAGAAGTACAGCTACTTTTGAGTAAGCATACCACCACTTTCAATATAGGAGAATATATTGAATATACAATATGCAACCCTTTCAGTATAGAAAAAGGGCACCTGAATGAATGATCAGGAAAAGTTTGGGCCGTTATTTTTTAAGTGAACGCTAGGGAGAACTAGGATCCTAAGTGAGGAGGAAAATCAGTTGAAGAATTATAGATTTACTTGAGTCTAAGAAAATTGGGAGAGGGGAATCATTGATTTGGTACTTTCACTTTTCTCTAAAGTGAAACTCGCCTTTTGTGAGAAGTACTCAAAGTAAGAGATTTACTCATCTCTAATGGGGGATGTTCATGGGCTTTTGAGTCTGCTTTCCTATGAGCAACACCTGCAGAGATGTTATAATTGGTATTTTATTATTTATAGAAGTAGATAGTCATACCGTGATTACCCAACATTGTGCCCAAATGAATACTTTTAGAAAAGCCCACATATAAGGAATTTTGTTTTCAAAACATCTTTGTCCTGTGTTTTGTGTTAGACGGATCACGCCAATGAAGTGTGGGTGATGGGGAAGAAGGAGCCGGAATCTTACGATGGGATAGTCACAAACCAGAGAGGAGTCACGATCACAGCTCTTGGTGCTGACTGTATACCTATAGTCTTTGCAGATCCCGTGAAAACAGTCTGTGGGGTTGCTCACTCTGGTAGGTGTGTTTAGTAAGTCATTAATTTGCAGTACAAGCTATTTCGTAATTTTTTTCTGATGGCCTTAAAAAGCTGTTAATTGTATTGCTTTGTGACAGGATAAGGCCTGTATAATCTTACTATAGAAACAGATATAAGGAGTATACCTGTCAAATTAGATGATTCAGAGTCGAATTCCCTAAGTAGATGGTATCTAGTGATAGTCAGGAAGCTGTAGTTTTAAAGTCTGTCAGTATTTCTAAGCAAAGGTATTCTATTAACGTATGAGACAAGATAATCCTGCCATACGGATTGAATTATCTTTAGCCCTGGGAGTTTTTAATGTTGCATAATAATCATAGTCTTTGTAATTAACCAAAGGACAGCCCTTCCTGCTTTTCGAAACACTCTAGGGTGTGGCTGCCTCTGCTGAGCATCCTTGGTGTCTGGGTACCAGGGAATGGGAACATTAGGCATGTTGTAGAAAGGAGTCACAGAGTAAACAGCATGAGGAATGCCAGTAAGAGTCAAAACAAAACAAGAAACAAGGCAAAGTTGGACATTTCACCGTTTCTAATTCTAAAACTCATTTCAATATAACAATATAACACTAGTATGAAAAATAACATATATACAGAAAAAAAAATAGAATAGAGAGCCCATAGTTACAAATAAGCCCTGAACTGTAGTTGAGAGCTTTTCAGTGAAGATGCCAAACAGGATATTCCATGAGGAAAGAATGATGTCTTCAACCTTTGGAGCTGGGGAAAGCAGACACCCACAAGCAAAAGAAAGATTCTGGCCCTTACCATACAATATTAAAAAAAATAGGGCAGAATAGATCAATGACCTAAATTGTAAGAGGCGAAATTATAAAACTCTTGGGGAGGGGGGACAGCTGTGTAAGTATTCATGCCTATGGATTAGTCATTATAGCTTTTAGGTATTCAAGAATTGGGAAGCAGACAAATTTAAAGACAGATTAATTGAACTTCACTTAAAAATGCTTATGCATTAAAGTATGATCAGTGGAGTAGGAAGGAAACCCACACAATGGCAGGAATTATTTGCAAACCATTCTATCTAAAAAGGGGTTAATCGCTAAAAACAACACCTGCAATTCTATAGTAAAACAATAGCTGGATTTAAGAATGGGTAAAGGGATTGGGGATGGAATTGTATTGGTAGAATGCATACTTGGCATGGATAGCACTGTTCAATAGCAGCATTCATACCAGGTGTAGTGGCACACACCTATTGTCTCAGCACTCAGGAGGTAGAGGTAGGAAGGTCAGAAATTAAGGAATGGAATTTTTCCCTAAAAATGATTTGCAAATAGCTAAGAAGCATAAGGAAAGCCAATCAGTGATGTTGAAACGATAAACGGCACACTTACTGAAAGTAAAACTAAGTATTTATTGTAGAAATTACTCACAAGATACCAAACAAGTAACCCAGATGAGCCCAGTAGTTTTCTGCTGCCGAACTGGAAACCGAAAGCCAGAAAAAGAGACCAAGACTTCCGTATTTCAATCTTTTATACCTTTCCCCATACCACCCCCTAGCCATGCCCAAAAGTGGGCCTGGCTAGTGACATAGTTCACCGCCTACGTACATATACGTCTTTACGTCTGTCCGTATACGTCTTTAGTCATACCTAAAGTGGGTGTGGTTAGCGGTGTGGTAAACCCCTCTTTTATTACCTCATCTGTATGTGCCTCTAGTAAGTCACATGGTTAATGGCGGCATACAGGCTTCCTCCTACAAATCAGCATCATTCACAATTAAAGAAATGTACGTCAGACCCATAATCTCTTCATGCATCCATTAGAGTGGCTACTACTTAAGCCATAAAACAACTCTCAAGGAATGATGGGTACAAAAGATGTGAACCTAAAAAAATGGTTTTCTGGATATGGTGGCACTTTAATCCCAGCACTCTGAAGGCAGTGGCCTGCTTGATCTTCAGTGGATTCCAGCTACGTAGTGAGATCCTATCTCAAATTTTTTAAAAAGTTAAATAAAATTGTCATGTGACCTAGAATTGTAGCTCTGGCTCTATGTCCAAAAGAACTCACATCTCTGTTTATAGCATCCTCATCTGTAAGACCCATGAGGTGTCCAGCGACAAATGAGTAAGTAGCAAACTGTGATGCAGTGTTCTACTAACTTGGACACATGCTGCAACATGGAGGAACCTTCTAGACCTTGATTCAATAAGCCAGTCACAGAAAGACAAATTCAACTCCTCACATAAAGTACGTAGAGTGAAATTCATAAACAAAGATCTTGTAGGAATAGGAAAATGAGAATTATTATTTGTGAATATAGTTTCAAATTTGCAAGATGAGAGAACCCTAGAAATGGAACCCTGCAAATGTTAATGCTCAGCTGGACACTCTTAAGTGGCTTAAATGTTGCATTTTATGTGTTCATTACCCTGGTTAATAGGAAAGAGGGAGAAAAGAATGAAAGGACATTACTCCTAAGCAGGCTAAACGTCAATACCATTTTTCAAAAGAAACTCCCGTTAACTGTCGGTTCTGTCCTGTGCTTTGTATAGTGCATCTAATGTTAATGACAGCACTGTAATGGAGTCATTGCTTTTGTAGCTCATCTACTACACCGAGACTTTGAATACACACACCGTAGCTGCTCATTTTTCACAGAGACATAGTTGAAAGTCTACACTTTTAACTTCTTCTGCCTTCCTTTCTTCCCATTTTCCAGGCTGGAAAGGTACTTTGTTGGGTGTAGCTATGGCTACTGTTAATGCTATGACAGCAGAATATGGCTGTAATTTGGAAGACATTATTGTTGTTCTGGGACCTTCCGTGGGACCTTGCTGTTTTACTCTTCCCAGAGAATCGGCAACCTCGTTTCATAATCTTCATCCTTCGTGTGTGCGGCAGTTGGACTCGCTGAATCCCTATGTTGATATCCGGAAAGCCACCAGGTGTGTGATTTCAATGTCGGGCCACAAGTTTGGTTATTGCTTATTGTTTCTGAGATGTAAATCACTTTCGAGAACAATGAATAACTCGCCACAACAATTCAGGTAGTGAATAGTTAAAGAGCTGACATGCTTGGGAAAAACCATTTTAAGTAAGGTGTGTATTCTCACTTCCATTAGTATCACAGATAATACCGTGACTTACAGTTTATTGATTTCCAAGTAAATTGCAAGCTGATCTCTACAGAAAACTACTTAAACTCTGTATAGAATAGCTGACATGTACTTTACTTCACATCCATTGCTTAGGCTAATTCTCCTAAGAAATAGAAATGACAGAAAATTAACATTTTGAAAGTATTCTTATTGTCTAATTAACTAGGAAACATTTCTTGTAAATATTAGGTAATACAAATACAACAATTTGTAAGTATTTGTGATCCTCTGCATTTTGAATATATGAATGTGCTTCTTAATCTCTGTTGAAAATTGTCCTTTCTACAAAAGGAAATTGATGTCTGATCTGAATTGTTTCTATTCCAGTCAGCAAAACCACACCCAGGCCCCTCCTCACTTAACACACCAGTAGAAAGGATTCAATCACAGCTGATTCTTAAATGTAGCTTGTGAAATAAGAGTCACTAATTTTATATCAGAATATTTATGAAGGAAGTTTTCTGTGAAAAGTATAGTAAATAGGAAAAGAGAGAGACAGGAAGATTAGATGATTAAAAGTGTACCCTGTCTGAATCAAGTGAGTACACCAATGTTCTCCTTCCCAAGAAAGCATTTAATTCTCCTCACACCATACCGACACCAACACATGTCTGAAGGCCAGTGTGGATCACTGCACAGCTCATATTTGAGCTTTGCTGATAAATGCTGACAAAATCTACCATTTCCTGACCCGTCCTGCTGTGGAGTAAATAGCAGCTTCCGTCTTTCCAAGGTCTTTCCTGGAATGTGTTCCTGAAGTAAACACTCCTGTTTCCTGTTGCTGTCACTATCAGTAATGTAAACTCTTGCCATCTTTCGAAAAATCTTTACTTTAAGGATTCTTCTAGAACGAGGAGGAATTCTTCCACAGAATATTCAGGACCAGAAGGGAGACCTTGACCTCTGCACATCCTGTCATCCGGATAAGTTTTTCTCCCATGTTCGCGATGGCCTTAACTTCGGTACACAGATTGGCTTCATATGCATTAGAGAATGAGGTACACATCCCCCCCTGTGGTGTGGTGTCTCTCTCTTCAGTCTCTTTCTCCGTGTCCCCCCCCCCCCCACTCATCTCTCCCTCTCCTCCTCCCTCCAGCCTTCCCCTGCCTTCATTGGAAAAGCGATTAAATTTAATATTATTTCTTCCTCCCTATAAGAATAATCAAGTTTTGATTTTTAAGTGGCAAAAATGGTATAGAAAAGTTGCTGGAAGATACTCTATAGGGAAGAATATTCATTTCTTTTCCTAGTTAATGAAGAATAATTAGGTAGGCTTATGTTAAAAGTTTTAAAGTAATTTAGTTTTTAAAAAAAGTCTTGTATAAAGAAGTCTTTATCTCTGATGTGAACTTAATGTATGCATTTTCTTTTACAACATCTTTATGCCTGTCATTATTTTTGCTTTATTGAAAAGGATTAATATTGTAAAAATGGCCACACTACTAAAATCAATCTACATATTGAATGTGATTCTAACACAATCCCTCACAGATGTTGAAAAGACAGAGTTTAGCTGCATACGGAAACACACAAACACACAAAGAGAGAGAGAGAGAGAGAGAGAGAGAGAGAGAAAGAAAAATCAGTGTAGCTAAAACAATCCGGAAGAATAAAACATTGCAGGATGTATCACCATTCTGGATTTCAGGCTGTACTATAAAGCTTGAGTAACAAAAACAGAGTAGTATTGGCATAAAAGTAGTCTAGTCAATCTATGGAATAGAATTGAAGACCCAGACATAAGTCTACACAACTATGGTTTAATTTAGTTTTCTTGGTTTTGGGGGGTTTGTTGTTATATTGGATTTCTGTTTCTTTTATGAGAAAGAATTTTGATTTGGATGTGTGGGAAGGGAAAGAGTATCTGAAGGGACTTGGGATAGGGGAGAAATATAATAAAAATATATTTCAAATTGTTTTAAATAATGAAAAGTGTGATAAAAAGTTTACATAAAGATTCTAAATTATAGAATTAGAAATCTACAAATAAATAAACTAACTTTCTAACTGCCATATAAAAGGATAGATAGCAAATTTTTAAAAATTATATTTTGTAGTGTGTGTGTGTGTGTGTGTGTGCATGTGCACATATGTCACAGACACGAGTGCCCATACTATAGTATACGCGTGGAGGCAGAGGACAACTTTCAGTAGTAAGTTCTCTTCTACTGCCTATAGCTTCCAGAGATCCAGCTTAGGTTATTTAGGCTGATGACAAGAGCCTTTACCCACTGAGTCATCTTCTCTCTGACTCAATAAATCTTTTGTGCTGTGCAGAGCACGCGGTATCTGTCTCATCCAGTCAACTCTGCCACTGCCGAGCAAAAACAGGTGCTGACAAAACAAAAATGAATGTGTTGGTGCTTCCATTAAACGTTGCTTACAAAAAGGAGCCCTTTAGACTTCTATGAAACAATTTCATGGCAATGACGCACTGCTGACCCTTTAGCACATACTCAATTTTCGGTAGTTTAACTCAATCCGTATGGTTTTTTTTTTTGCCATACTATTTTAATTGATTTTTATTTAAAGGAAAAACAATCTTATTTTACACACCATTCCCAGTTCCCTCTGCCTCCTGTCCTCCCATTTCCCTCACCAACGCCCCCATCCCACAATGTTTTTAGTTTATAATGCCCTTTATGATGCCTACCTTGATGTTCTAAGAAGCTAGGTAGGAGCTCATGTTTTATTTCTGTGTCTTTTACAGGTTCTTGACTGCAAGTTTGCATTGCTGTTTCATGTATCCTTTCCACACTGCTTGCAAAAGAAAATTTTAGCTTTTGGATTTACATAAGACCAAGAAGATTACAAAAGATAATTCATCTTTAGGGTATACATTCACTGTTACCCATATCCAGATGATCTTGGTCTAATTCTTATAGCGACTGACGAGAGAATCAATATGATGCTATTCCTCAAGTTTATTTATCTATAAATCAAGATCAGGTCTGTCCAGTTCTGTATTTGTTAGATGCCAACTTTTGTCTTAGGTATGAGGCTTAGCCCAATGAATCAAAATAAAGACAACCTTTCCATTTGAGTCAAATGCAGTAGGAGAGATAAACACTTCCTTTTAATATATATTTTAGTTGTTTTACAAAAGAGTAGGTTTTATTACAGCATTTTCAAGTACCGTGTCTTACTGGTCCTCCCTTCTTTCCTTCCCCCTTATGTAACCTTCCACTCCCAGTAACCCTTCTTCCCTGTATTCTGTCACCCCTTCCTTGTTCAGCCTTCTTCTCCCTCATGTTCCCTTTCTAGGTTTAACACCTATATGCACCCTTACACCCACATACAAACATATGTACATATACGTATATGTGTATGTACACATAAACATTCAGGTTTCAGATTCATCTATGAGAGAGAATGTACAATGTTTGTTATTCTGGGTCTGGATGATTTTGTTCAACATAATAATTCCAGATCCATCAATTTTTCTATAGAGTTGATAATTTCATTATGGCTAAATAAAATTTTGTATGTGCTGTATTTTTGTTATTCATTCATTTGCTGATGGACCTCTAGGCTAATTTCAATTCCTTGCTGTTGTGATTAGAATATCAATAAATGTGCAGGTTTAAGTGTCTTTGTGGCAGGATATAGAGTCTTGGGTATATGCACAGGAGGAGAATTGTTGGGTCATGAGGCTATTCTGTCTTTGTTTTGTTTTTAAAATATATTCTTTTGGTAATAGTTCATGTATACATACATGGTGAAATATGATCATAACTGCCCTTCATTTCACCTCCAACTCTTCCTCAGATCTTCTCAACATGTCTCCATCACTATTTATTTTTTGAAGCCTCCATGCTTATTTCTATAACTGCTGGTCCCTCCCGTTTACACTCTTACTTACAGAGAAAAAGAGTGTTGGGAATCAAACTCAGACCATCTGGAAGAGCAGCCAGTGCTCTAAGCCACTGAGCATTGCTCCAGCTCCCTCTTTCTTTTCTCTTGGTAATAGCCATTCTGACTACTGCTAGGTAGAACCTTAAAGTAGTTTTAACTACTAAAGGTGTTGGATGCATTTTCAGTATAGATCTGGACATTTGCAGTTCTTGTGAGAACCATCTGTCCATTTCATGAGGTCATTTATCGGAGACAGTTTTATTGTTTAGTTTTGAAGGTTTTTATATGTTCTAGGTCCTAAGCCCCTCGTTGAAATATATCTGGCAAAGATTCTGCATGACTCTGTAAGTGGCTTGATCTCCTGCTGATAGTTCCCTTTACTGTGCAAAAGCTTTGTTGTTTTATGTAATCCATTTGCAAATGTTTGTGCCATTAGAGTCCTAATTAAAAATTTCTTGTGTATGCTTATTCATCTAAATGTTTTCCTCTAGTAGTATCAGAATTTCTGGTTAGGGTCTTTGATCCTTAGGAAGAGTTTGGTAGTGCCCCTGCTCTTTCTCTCGTGGGAAGGCTTGCAATGCTGTTGATGCTAGATCTTCCTGGCAGAATTTAGCAGTGAATCCATGTGGTCCTGGGCTTTCCTGAGGGGGCAACTCAAGTAGCACTTCAATCTTTTGCTCATCATCTGCCTGTTCAAATAGTTCATTTCCTGGATTTATTTTTGGTAAGTCATTATGAACTTTCTTCTTAGGAAGCCCTTGGCAGTATCATAGAGGGTCTGATAGATGGTGCTACCATTTTGCATTTGATCCTAGGAATGTTTTTACATTTCTCCAAGATTTTTTTCCCCATGACTCACAAGCATTTGTCTGGTTTCTGAATTTCTCTTGATGATTTTTCATTCTATTGCACTGTGGTCTTATAAGATACAAGGAATGATTTCTTTCTTTCCTCATTTATTTCTTCTTTTGTTTTTGTATTTGCTAAGGTTTGCTTTATGGTAAGTTTTAGAGAGTGTTCAATTCTTGTTCTACTGAGTGTGTTCACTATCTGTCGGATGGACACTACTTAATTCCAGTTGATCTATAATATAATTAATATAATTTAGCTCTGAAGTTTCTTTACCAGTTTTATATTGGAGAACCCCATCTGAATCTGAGAATGCCATATCAACGTCTATCATCATTATTGTGTCAGAATCTGTGTGACGTGCTATGCCTTTCAGTGTTTGTCTTATGAAATGTGTAGTCCTGATACTCACCAAATAATATTTCCAGTTGTTATATCTCCCTGAGGAGCTGTTCCTTTGTTAATATGTGGTGGTCCTTTTATCTCTTCAAGCCAGTTTTGATCTGAAATCTACCTTATCAGGTACAAAAATTGCTACATAGCATGTACACAATTTCTATTTGCTTGGTATGTTGATTTTCACCTTTTGACTCTGTTTTTGTTTTGTGAATTTTGTTTTTTCTGGTTAAGTGTGTTTGTTGGAGACAATAAATGGACCTTGTTTTATTAATTCCATCAGTTATTCCTTTTTTATTGTTTAATTGAGATCAATTGCACCTGAGGTTATTTCCTATGACTTTATTGGTTGATTTTCTGGTTGGTTAGACTATTGGTATTTTTGGTCTTCCTTCTCTGTTAGTATTAGGGATTTTCTGGTTTGCTGTGTTGTACCTGATTACTTCCTTTCAACTCTTTTTGATCACTCATGGAATATATTCTCTCCTGTTTTCTATGGAAAAGACTTTGTTTTTCCTATGTATATAGTATTCCTTTGAGGTTTTCTGTGAGGAACTTCTTTCCTCTCAGCTTTTAGTCTTTGCTTGATGGTTATGATATTATGATATGTTGTGGAGAATTTCTCTGGTCACATCTGTTTGGGTTTTAATGGCCTTTTGTGTTTATATGTTGGTTTCTTATTCTAAGATTAGAGAAATTTCTTCTCTAAGTTAATTGAATATATTATCTATGACTCTTAATTTTATTTCAGCTCCCACTTCATAGGTCCTTAGAGTTCTGTCTTTTGAATGTGTCCCTTGAATGTATCCCAGACTTTTTGGAATTATTGGTTGTTTGTTTTTGTTTTTATCATTACACGTGTCTGAATGTAGTATTGTCTCAGCTTAGTCCTCCCTCCCTGAATTTCATTCTCCTCATTGCTCTTGTCTGTGAGTGATGCTTTCTGACATGATGTTGACTTGATTGCGTGCTTCTTTCCGTCCCAGAAATTCTAATGGTTTCCTCTCTGGTGTTTTAGCATCCTTGCTGAATCTCTCCTCTGTGTTTTCAAGTTCCTTTCAGAGATAAAATATTTCTACAACTAAAATACAGTTTTTCAAAGAGATGAGTAGTGCTGAATGTGGAAGGGTTGTCTTTACTTGGAGGTCAGCAGAAAGAAGACATTACAAAGAAAAATGACAGCTTATATGGGCCCAGAACATGCACAGATCTTTAAATCGTGTTTTTTAATTTATATGTATGCATATATCTCATTGTGTCTGTGTGCACAAGTGCATGCAGGTGCCTGCAGAGGACAGAAGAAGGCGCCATCCCCTGAAGCTGGGGTTCCAGAGTTACAGGGTAGCTGTGAGTGCTGGGAACCCAGCTCCAGTGGTCTGCAGAAGCAGCCAGCACTCTTCAACATCTCTCTGGCCCCATGCACAGACATTTGACAAAGTGCAGTCATAGCAGGGAGAGAGACCATCATGAACCAGGAAATGAAACTGAAAGTTTAGAACTTACCCAAGGCAGAGAACAGTGAAGCAGGGTAGCACAGAAATAGAACAGTAGGGATCCCAAACCACGTAGGAAATTTGGAGTTCCCTTTGTGGAACATAAGTAGGCATCGCAACAGAGGATTCCCTCGTACCACAGCCTCCTATTTAATGAGGTGGATTCAGGATGGGAGTGACCAAAGAAGTGACCATTACAGGTAATTACTGTAATGAATAGTGTGTGTGTTGGCAGATGTTAGTTTAATCTTTGGTGACTCTCATAGACCTGCATGAACTTTAAATAAAATGTATATTCCTGCACATGTCAAGGAAGGCATTAAATACAGAACATTAAGACAGAGAATTCAAATTCATGAAAATTTTCTTTATGAAAATGCAAAGATAAAAAATATTCTCACACCTTTAGAAATACTGCAATTTTCTAATTCTTCACTGTGTATTTTATTCAAGGCTTATAAATTTAGGCAGCCATACTTTACATTATGTACCATAGCATTCCAAAAACAAATACAATTGTGTTTTATTACCTATGGTTTTGGACTCATTGTGTATTTAATTTTTAATTTTATTGCTGTACATTAAAAAAATTTTTAGCAGTACCAAAATTTTCATTTTCATGACCCCTCCACATAAAGTTGTTGAGCTTTACAAAACAAATGAAAGTGTTTTACCACTAGGAGGCAGTATTCAAGGTTTTACAAATAGTTCTGGTGTTTCTCAGCATAAAGGTAAACAAGTGTTAGTCTCTGTTATGTCCTTGTGCAAAAAGGGAGGGTATTTAAAAATGAACGAAAAGATTCCTTTAGGCACATTATATTGTAGTTCAAATAGAATCATTCAGGGACTCCCAACCACTTCAGTCTCCTACAGAAGGGATAGTATTTGCTTTTCTGTAAGCAAATCTGTGTGTGTGTGTGTGTGTGTGTGTGTGTGTGTGTGTGTGTGTTGTGTTGTGTAGCAGAAGGAAACTCAGGGACGTTTAAACTGTATCACATGATGAAAATGTAAATACCCACTGATTGAAAAGTTGTGATGAAAGAACAGTGACATATAAGCTATACCATATTATATCTCATAGTGGGATTTGAAATTGGGTTTCATTTGATTGTCCTAAATATATGCTAATGATGTATCCAACATCTTAGCTATTGGAAAAGCTTTTAGAAAAGCCCACCAATATATGGAAGTACAACACGTTAAAGAATCATTGTGTAGATACCAGTCTGCTGGTGTGTATATACAAGTTGAATGCAAAGCAGAAATACATACGTGGCCAGGTATGGCATTTGGCCTCTTTAAATAATGCAAATTCACAGACACAAACACTGGATACACTGTAACTTAGAAGTTTTTAGAGAGGTAATTACTGTAATGAATAGTGTGTGTTGGCAGATGTACTTTTGGGAACTCTGGGCTATGGTGCATGCATTTACATTACATTTTTTAAAGTTTACTTGTGATGTCAAGGCTGAGGCAGCTTCTGTTGGCCATGCACTATTCTGTGAGTCAAGCCATTGCCTAATGAAGAAGAAACAGAACAGTTACATTTATTTTGAACACAAAGGTTGCATGTCAATTGTGTTGAGAGAAACTTTCCATACTTATATTTTCTTTGCAGAGAAAAGAAATTCTTATGTCACACTCCCTGTGCATTTGGTCCAAATATCTGAGGTGACTTATATCCCTCTGTGTCTGAAGCCAACTTTGTTGGTTTATTTAATTCTAAAAAGGATATAGTATGAAGATTTTCTAGTAAGTCATTTTGGATTTCCAGAAAATTCTGTAGTTCAAAATATCACATTCCTCCCTTGGCTCATCCCCATGAGAAACCTTGGTAGAAAATGGATTTTTGATGGCAGTAATTAAATGGCTTTATTTTCCTGTAGGTATGTGTGTATT